TGTAGGGAAGGACACCCTGCCGTGGGGCATCCCCATCTTGCACCCGCCTGGGAACCTGACCGCCCTCTACCTCAGGGCCCCCTCAGCCTACTCCTCTCACGGCCTCCACACTGTGTCATTTTTCCTTCTTTGCTGAGAGACTAAATGGGAAGTCATGACCTTCTCAAGTCCTGGGAAGAGCTGCCAGGGTGCTGGGTGGTAGGATTTGTTGTTCATGGTTCCCAGTCAGGGTCCAGGAGGGGAAGTCCAGGGGGTGGGTCCCTGCTGTGACGGGGGCAGAGGGGTAAGGTCGGCTGGTCCCTGACGCCCCTCACCCTTCTCAGTGCTGGCCTCGGGCTACAACCTGGACGTGCGGCACGTGCAGAACTTCTCCTTCCCAAGTGCCGGGAGCCACTTTGGGTACCGGGTCCTGCAGGTCGGAGACGGGTGAGCTGCTGTCCCTAAGTCATCCCACCAAGGGGCAGGTCCAGGCTCAGACGCCTGCCCTGGGACTGCCCCTGTGGCCATCACTGCCTCACCCACCTGGGGTGGGCAAGTCAGTGAACCGGCCGGACATCCTGCCTGAGGAGTCTGTCGGTGGGAACCCCCTGGAACAGGAGCAGGGCTATGAAATTGGAGGATGAGCACCATCGTCCTAAGGTGCCACAGAAGTGCCTAATTTGGGGGCATGCTAAGCATCCTTCCTAGGTTCTTGACCTCCTGACCACATGGTGAGCTCCTGGAAGGCAGGGTTTGTTTCTCTCTTTGTTTCCACTCCCTCATTTCCAGCCTAGCACATAGTAGGTCAGTCGTAAATGGCACTGGAATTGAAGCCTGAATGAATGAACTCACGATGCAACGTCCTGGCAGATCATGCTCTGACCTCAGTTTTTCTAGCCCATCAGTGATAAGGCACCATAACTTTCTAGAATTCTGGCACTTGGGATTCAGCAGGGAAGAGATGGGGTCTGAGAAGCCTCTCTGAGGGGAAGTGACTGCATTTCTTGGGGCATCTTGGTGGGGGACCCGAGCCCCTCCTAAGATGTAGGAGTAGGGTGGGTGAAAACCCGGGTAAGTCCATCTGATAAGTGAGATTTCTCATCAGAGTTGTCGTGGGAGCTCCAGGCGAGGGGAACAGCACAGGAAACCTCTACCAGTGCCAGCCGGGCACTGGCCACTGCCAGCCAGTCAGCCTGAGTGGTGAGTAACTGATAAGGAGCTGGGAGGAAGGGGCTGGAGGGAGAGTGAGGCTCACCCCAACACACCCATGTTACCTGAGCTCCTCCAGACCAACCTTCTGGTGCCTGCAGGTTCCAAATATACCTCCAAGTACTTGGGAATGACCTTGGCAACAGACGCTACGGGTGGAAGCCTTTTGGTAAGAATTTCGCGCGGTGGTACTGTCAGAGCCTGTGAAAGACAGATGGAAAAGAGAAAGAAAGGAAATGGAGAAGAGTCCGTACAACATTAAAGGCATCAGAGGGATTCAGATTCAATCTGTGTGTTTTGAGCACTACGAGCCTGCTATTTTCAAGTACATACCTCAGTTTTTCATCCAAATATGAACCATCCATGACCACTGAGATACAGTGTGGGAACCAGCAGGCCCCACAGCAGCAGGAGGTTAAGGCAGCTGGATCCCACATGGTCAGTTACACATTGCTGAGTCTCGGACCCAGCAGCTTTGAAAACACACCGGGCATGTGTGCATGCCTGCCCAAAATCCCGAGAAGAGAAGGGAGGAGATTGGAAGAAAAAGAATTGTGGTGTGTAATAGCCCCCTGGGGTCACTTTCTCATTTTCTGTCTCTCTCTCTCTCCAGCGAGAATGCCCACTTTGTAGCAAATTTTTTCGTTTGTTTGTTTCTTTTTTTTTGAAGAGAGATTTTTGCAGGACCAGCAGTTAGTGTAACGGCTGTGTCACTGGACTCCCATGTAGTCGACTGCGGTTCGAGTCTTGGACCTGGTGGCTTAAAACTCACGCCAGGCGCCTATGCATGCGTGCCCAAGATCCCAAGAGAATAGAAGAGAAGGGACTGCAGCATGGTCATCCCCCCTGGAGGGTGATTTCTTGCTTTCTGTCTCTCTGTCTCTGTCTGGCTGGCAAACACATCTGCCCTATAGCAAAAACCTCTCAAAAAAAACAAAAAAGAGAGAGAGAGATTTTTGCTATAGGGCACGTGTGCTCGCCAGAGAAAGAGAAAGACAGACACAGTGAGAGGGAAAGTGGGAAACCACCCCTCCCCGGGGGCAGTGGCCACATTGCAATCCCTTCTCTTCCATTCTCCTCTCAGGATTTTGGGCATGCATGCACACACACACCCGGTGTGAGTTTCAAGCCACTGAGTCTGGGACTTGAACCACAGTTGACTACATGGGAGTCCAGTGACATAACCATTATGCCATCTGCTGGTCCAGCAAGTGTTTTTCTTTTTAAAAGAAATACGATGTGAGACCAGCAGTTAGTGTAATGGCTATGTCGCTGGACTCCCATGTAGTCGAATGCGGTTTGCGTCCTGGACCCAAGTGGCTTAAAACTCACACCGGGCGCGTGTGCGTGCGTGCCCAAGATCCCAAGAGGAGAATGGAGGAGAAGGGATTGTGGCATGGCCATCCCTTCTGGGGGGGTGATTTCTCGCTTTCTGTCTCTCTGTCTCTCTCTGTCTGTCTGGCGAGTACACGTGCCTGCAAAAAAAAAAAAAAAAACCCACAAACAAACAAACAAAAAACAAACAAAAAAAACCTCTCCAAAAGAAATACGATGTGATCTGAGGTGACATAAGAACTTCTTCTTCTTTTTTTTTTTAATCCCTAGAGTGTGCGTGTACTTGCCAGAGAGACAGAGAGAGAGGGAGAGAGAGAGAAAGCATCCTCTAATAGGGTATGGGGTATGGTCACAATCTCTTCTGCAATCTCTTCTTCATTTCTTTGTTCTCATAGGGATTTACAGCACACACATGTATGTGCCTGGTGTGTTTTTCAAACCGCCAGAGCCAGGGCTTGAACTGCATGGTTGGCCAGGTGGAATCTGGCTCCCTTAACCAAGAGGCCACAGGGCTAACCTGGTTTACAAACTTTTAATATTTATTTTAGTAATTATATATTTATTTTACAGCTTATTAGAAATAAATGCACAATAAGCATATTGAATTCATGGTTTCTCAGATTGTTTTACTTAAAAAGAGGCTAAAGTTAAATTATTTTAATTTAATTTTAGTTTTTGCTACTGTGTGCACTCACCAGAGAGAGACAGAGAGAGAGAGAAAGAAAGGGAAAATGAGAAATCAACTCCCTCCTCCCCCATTGGGGATGTCCACACTGCAATTCTTTCTCTTCCGTTCTCCTCTGGGGACTTTGGGCATACACTCATACCTGGTGTGTTTTTCGATCCAGCCACATTAACCACCATGCCACCGCTACTCCTGAAACAAATTTTTAAGGGAATGTTAAGGAAATAATGGTACACCCATGTGGCAAAAATCATGAAACATCACATAAATGCCCAAAGTTTGGGAAACACTGCTCTATCTCATCTAACCATCAAGGCCCTCAGGTGAGACAGGGATCAGGATGCATGTTTTACATTTGTGGAGACAGAATCAAAGAGGGTACAAGACTTGGCTAAGATCACTTGGTTGCTAAGTGATAGAGTCAGGCTTTGAATCAAATTCCAATTGCTCTTTCCATTTTATCCCAGCCGGCATCCTCTGACACAGCTGTGTGAGAGACACCAGAGTAACCAGCTGATGTGCTGCTCCGATATTTCATTGGAGCTTGCTTACTTAGCTACTATTGCCTGCCAGGCATTTTGCTAGGTTCTCATAGACAAAGGGAGTGAGAGCCGAAGAGGACTATGACACAAGCCCTGATTGTCAAGAAACTGAAGTCTGACAGAAAGGATAATGATAAACAAAGACCATTGGTGGTAGGGAGGGAGAGACAGCTGCCGGGACCATTGGTGGGAGGGGAGGAGAGACAGCTGCAGAGACCACTGGTGGTAGGGGTGGAGAGACAGCTGCCGGGACCATTGGTGGTAGGGGTGGAGAGATATATAAGGAGACCATGTAGGGAGTAAAGGAGGGAGGCAGGACTCTGTATGTTCTGGCTCTTGGCTGATGATGCACAAAAGGCAAAGAGCAAGAGGGAGCCCTAACTCCTTTGTCTTTGCTTCTTTCAGACCTGTGACCCTGGGCTGTCTCGAACATGTGACCAGAATACCTATCTGAGTGGCCTGTGTTACCTCTTCCCTCAGAATCTAGGGGGTCCTGTGCTACAAGGGCGCCCTGGTTATCAGGGTAAGGAACTGGGGACCCATGGTTAAAAAATATCTCCTACTGGGCTGCCCTCATGGGAACCAGGTGGATTGGCCAAGCGCCGGAGACATGTGACCAGGTTCCTCTGCATCTGGTCCCTGCAGAATGTTTAAAGGGCAACGTAGACCTTGTATTTCTGTTTGATGGCTCGAGGAGCTTGCAGCAAGATGAATTTCAGAAAATTCTGGACTTCATGAAGGATGTGATGAGAAAACTCAGCAACTCTTCCTACCAGGTAAATATGATAGGATTCTTGGTTGCAGGCAATAGATGCCTTCCTTCACTGATTTAAAAGGAGAATTTAAGACATCTCTCCAGAATTCATAAGCATAGCTATAACCTGAGCTCTGGAAGGGACAAGAACCAGGAAGTAGGAAGTTTCTAGGATTTGTTCTAATTCTCATTTCTGTTTCTCTTTGTGTTTTTGCTTCCCTCTTCTCTTTCTCACTTTCTCAGCAGACAGGTTCTCATAGCTTCTTCAGATCACATGGGTCAGCGGAAAGTTCCTAAGTCTGTGTGTTGAAGGACCAGACGGGTTTTTACTTTCCTCTGGGCCAATCTCTCCTTCTGCAAACCTCAAATTCTTAGAGAAGAGGTTTTGATTGGCCTAACCTCAGTCTATTGGCCATGCCTGGCCCAGCCAACTGTGTCCAGTGTAGCAAGGTCACTCAGCAGAAATATGGCTACTGGGAACCATCCTTATTTGTCATGTAGGCAGACCAAGAGAATAGGAGCTTAGCACACAGCACTACCCAGGGAAGCTAAGGTTTATTCCATTTCTTTCTGTGTTTATTTATTGGGTTATCAGAAAAGCCACCAAGTATTTTCTCTATGTAAAAGTGCATCATGCCTTTTCTAACAACCCAATATATATTGCCTCATTTTCAAAAGAATGATCAGCGCAGGGATGTGGTGTTGAGTTGCCCAGGCCCTGCATAAAAGAGACTGGAACAAACAAGTGAGAAGAGAAATAAAATTACACGCCATTTCTCCCTTCCTTTTCTAGTTTGCTGCTGTTCAGTTTTCTTCATCCTACAAAACAGAATTTAATTTCTTGGATTATGTTAAAGTGAAGGACCCCGATGTTCTGCTAGCCAACGTAAGGCACATGCTCCTGTTGACCAACACCTTTGGTGCCATCAACTATGTCGCGTGAGTCCCCTTTTGTGGGAAAGAGCATAGCCATGCATTTGTTCTGTGTGATGAGCTTCCTCCAGTGTGATGTAAAGGAACTTAATAGGTAGAAACCACAAGGAGCTACTATGTGAACTCAAGCGGAGCCGTTTTAATCCAGGTTCTTTTGGTTGTAAATAACAGAAATCGACTCTGTACTGGCTAAATCTCAAAAAGAAATTATCGAGAGGATGCAGCTCATAAGCCCTTGGAAAAGGAAGTATAGACAGGCCTCTTGAAAGACTCGAACCAGGACTTGAAAAGTGATCGCATATCATGGCGGCTGCAGTGGAGTCATTTTTGAATTTAGTGTATGAACAGAAATCTCCAGTAGTCAAAATTATCCTTGAAAAATTTCTCTCGTAGTTATTCAGATTCAGTATAATCAAGTCCCACATTGGAAACTACCATACCCCGATTTTTAAAATCTGACAGAGAAAAAATTTTCCCAGACTTAGGTCAGATTGCTTTGTTTTATCAATAGTTTGGACCTAGGTAGAAGTAGTCAGATGGTATTGAAGGGCCATAGTGCATATTTTAAAAATACCCACCATGGCCAAGTGGCATAGCAGTAACACAACTGCACCAACATGGGAGGGGCCTGGGTCCGTGTCCCAGGACCTCCCTGTGTATGTGCACACTGGACTTACACATGTGCACGTAGGATTCAGGCTGGTTGAGATTGGCGTGGGCCATGGCATGAAAACCCTGTTGGAGGTTTCTGTCTCTCTATTCTCTGTCTGTCTCTCATGGAAGAAATAAATGAGCTTTACATTTAAAAATAGTAAGTAGGGGCCTGAGATGGCATAGCGGTTACGTTGCTGAACTCCCACATGGCTGACTGCGGTTTAAGACCCAGACCTGAAGACATGAAAATCATGCCAGACATGTGTGCATGCATGCCCAAGATCCCAGGAGGAAAATAGATGAGAAGGGACTGTGGGGACCAGAAGTTAGCATAATGGCTGTGTCACTGGACACCTATGTAGTCGATTGCGGTTTGAGTCCTGGACCCAAGTGGCTTAAAACTCATGCCAGGCACTTGTGCGTGCGTGTCCAGGATCCTGAGAGGAGAATGGAGGGGAAGGGACTACAGCGTAGCCAGCGCCCCGGGGGGGTGATTTCTCACTTTCTGTCTCTCTGTCTCTCTCTGTCTGGCTGGCAAGTGCACACATCCTATAGCAAAAAC